AGCAGAGCCTGCCCGGGGACACGCGCTGCCTAACGCCGCTGCTGAAGTGGTTTTGTGCTTCTTATCTTGTTTTTGTGAGTGTGTTATGTGCTGTAAGGTGCCTGAGAGTGCCAGCCTCGTGGTGCAGGTCACAGACTCACCGAGGCTGCAGAGGAAAATGATGTGTGGCACAAAGTATTCCTGGACCCACCACACCTGGGTCCAATCCCACCCGTGCCTGTTGAAAACACACCAACCTTCTCATGTTTTGGACTCAATAACCTTAGGGTTGGGAAGGAAGGGACCTTAGAGATCCCCTGCCCTGGGCAGGGACACCTCCCACCAGAGCAGGTTGCTCAAGGCTCATCCAACCTGGAACGAACACTGCCAGGGTTGGGGCAGCCACAGCTTCCCTGGGCAGCCTGGGCCAGTGTCTCACCACCCTCACAGGGAAAGCTTCTTCTTGATAGCTAATCTAAATTTCCCTTTTTCAATTTCTCCCCATTTCAGATCTTAAAATAAGATTCAAAAGATGTGTTTTTTAGCATTATTGCCTTTTGTCTTTCCAGTGTATTCCCATCCCAGAGTCCACTGCAGCAGGAGAGAACCTCCAGCAAAATCTCCTCAGCAGCTGCCGCTGCCTCGGCCTAAGGTGTCAGTCCAAGAGGAGGTATGAGACGATCCCAGGGCACGTTGGAGCTGGAGCTCCAGTGGGTGACACCTCGTTCTATGGCAGATGGGGGTCAGCAGCTGAGGGTTGTGCTCTGTTTGGCTCCCCAGGTCGGGATGTCGGAGCTGAGCGACGAGGCCAGCGAGTCGGAGCTGCTGAGCCGCAGTCTGTCCATGTGGCACGGGGTCGGGCACAGGACCCAGCAGGAGGAGCTGGATGTGCCCCTGGACCTGCACACAGCCTCCTCTGTCGGGCAGCAGGAAGTGGTGCAGGAGTGCATCCAGCGGTGAGAGGGGTGGGGAGGGCACAGCTCTGGCAGCAGGGGTGGCTTTCCCTGCCTGCTGTACTGCCCAGGGCACAGGGACACATCCATGGAGCTCCCGAAGGCTTCTTGGGCACAAAGTTTCAAGGGGTAAATCTGCTCGTCAAATTATCTCCTTAGTAATTTAGTGAAAGGTGGGGGTTGGAGCTAGATTATCTGTAAGGTTCCTTCCAACCCAAATCATTCCCTAATTCCATCAAGGTTGGTGGAGATCTCTAAGGTCACCAAGTCCAACTGTTAACCTGTCACTGCGTTGTAATCCCTAAACCCTAAATCATATCTTCCAGCACCAGATCCAGGTGCTTCTTAAACACCTAGTGATTCTACCACCTCCCTGGGAAACCTATTCCAATGCCTGACCTGATTTGATTTGTGGAAGTTGTGCTAGAGCTGGAAGGAATTCCCACATGGGCTTCAGTGCTAGAATGTTTTGCAGTATAGTGATGATAGCAGGAGTCTGCAGGAGCCATCTGTGATCTACAGCTCCAGCCCAGTAGTTCAGCTGACGTGTGTTCTCTGTGCTTTAGTGGAGATCTGGATTTAAACCAGAGGAACTGTGGAGGCTGGACCCCACTGATGTATGCCTCCTACATTGGCCACGACAGCATCGTGCACCTGCTGCTGGAAGCAGGAGTGAATGTGAACATCCCAACACCAGAAGGGCAGACACCACTCATGCTGGCTTCCAGCTGTGGGAACGAGAGCGTTGCTTACTTCCTTCTGCAGGTGTGTATCCCATCAAGCCACAGCACATGGTTTCAATGCTCAGGGCAGGATTGTCCACAAGTTGCAACCAAAGTGTGCAATTTGTGTCTTGCTGTGAGTTCAGCTTGCTGCAGGGATTTAAACTCTCCTCATATCCCAGTGCAGGAGGGCAGTGGCTAAAAGCCTGAACAGAGGGGGTGCAGTAAAGAACACTGTCTGTTCTCTTGAAGCAAGGTGCAGAGCTGGAGATGAAGGACATCCATGGCTGGACTGCCTTGTTCCACTGCACCAGTGCTGGGCACCAGCAGATGGTCAAGTTCTTACTGGAGAACGGGGCAAATGCCAACTGCAGGTAAGGAAGAATTGACAGTTTCCTTGGCATTTATCATTCAGATGGGAAAGCAGCAATTGGCATGTGAATGTCCTCCAGTACACACCTGCTTTTGTCTTCCCCCTGTCCTTAGCATGCATGGCACACTGTCAGCTGATACAAGGACAGGTGACCTGCCAGCTGCACAGTGAAGTCTGCACAAGTTGTCACTGTTTATCTAAGATCAAGAGAAATTAGATTTATTGCCTGTCTTATTATGAGCTGAACTCTGATAGCTAAAGGTGCAACACCTGAACTCAAGTGCACTTTGCAAGTCTCTCTATTGAATTTTCTGCATGCTCAGAGCTCAGTTTGGGGTTTGAAGTGTGCAGTGCATTCCTGTGCCTTGGGAACTGCTGTACATCTGTGCCCATGGAATTGCCTGAGATCAGTAAGAGGTTCTTGCTTTATTACCTCCTGCAAAACTGATTTTGGCTCTGGAGGGCAGAGCTGCAGCTAGAATAGTAATCTGTTGCTGTGCAGCCAGTTAAGTAACACAGAATCTCCATGGGGAGTTTTCCTGGGATAGAACAGACGGTATGTGATAGAGGCTGATCAGCAAAGGTTGAGGGACGGAGGTGCTCAGTTAGGGTGTGTCAGTGACTGCAGCAGAGTTCAGCTGTGATTATCCCAGTCCATGTGTGTGTTCTCTCTCTAGGGAGCCAGTATATGGATATACACCTCTGATGGAAGCAGCTGCTTCTGGTCATGAGATAATTGTTCAGTACCTTCTCAATCATGTAAGTGTCCTGCCAGTTCTCTGCCAAGCTGAAGATCTTTGGTTCCAGCCCTCAGATGAAGAACCACAAGCTTTACACCAGGCTTTTTACAGCGTTGTGTTTGATCCTTGATGACAGGCATGTCTGAAGTTCCAGACTTGCAGGACTGTTTTGCTTCCTGCAGGCTACTGCTGTGATTTTACACTGGCCCTGAAGGAGCAGGAGTGAGGTCTGACTGTCCAGATTTAACTGAATAATGGCTGAATTAGAAAATAAGTGAAGTTGTAATTCCTCTCTTGTGTTTACTGGCTTGCATGCTCAGGCTGGTGGACATCTTCTGTCTCCAAAAACCTGGGAGCATGCATATCTCCTACACAATCTGGTAGTAATGTCCTGTTTAACTGGGCCAGCTTACTGCCAGAAGGAGGCAGCAACACACAGCACTTCTCAGATAAAACAGACTAGTTCTCTGTGGCAATGCACAAGAGCCACATACCTGGGCTACTTGGCATCCAGGGGCTGGGGAGACTGGAGAACTAGAAAGGCATCAAGGTACCAGTGGAGCTTGAACTGTGAAAGGTGAACTTGTATTTCTAATGGAAGAACTAAGACTCCTTGCATTCTTTTTATACAGTGCCTTTGCCATGTGCATTTCAAACAGGTGTTTTTTCTCCAGGGAGTGAAGGCAGATGTCAGAGACAACACTGGAGCCACAGCACGGACACTGGCCATGAAGTATGGGCACACCAAGATTGTGGGGCTGATAGATTTGCATGCAGCCCCAGTACCCAAGGTCTTCTGCAGGGGTCCAGGTAACAGCTGTTTTAGCTTGTTCATTTTAGGGTAGAATCTGAAGTAAGGGGGTTGATACTCTGAAAGTATGTTACTGTATGTGTGGGGTAGTGCTAGCTGCTCTGTCCTGGAAATTCCAGCATTTCTGAGGATAGAAGAGGCATGGATCCAACAATTTTTGTCTGCTGGCCTTTTTGCACTTAGTCTAGCTGTTTTGCCTTCCCTTTTTAACATTTCCTTTTTGCTTTCCACTGTGTTTATAGGCAAAGTAGCAAATCACTTAGGCAGATGACTTACTGTGCTGCTAACAGGCTGTGTTTGAACTCCAGGGAAATATGAAGAGCTGAGTTCCTCAGATGAATCCTGCTCTGCTCCCCAGAGGCAGAGGCCTGCTCGCAGGACCAAGGGGCCCAGCATCCACGATGGCCCACAGGCTCTGGCCAAGATCACAGCAGTTGGGATGGGGGGCAAGAAGTTCTCTCGCTATGGTGAGGATGGGTAGGAGCCTGATTGAGGCCTCTGAGGTCTCCAAGGCATTGCAGCTCTTTCTGTGCAATCCTTTCTCTTCATTTGGGATTCCTGTGTGGCTTGTACAGAAACAAAGGGAACACCATCATTCAAGGCTGTTCGGTCTCTGGGTTAGAAACAAAACCCCTCAAAATCTTTGGTCAAGACTGGATATTGATGTTGAACAGTTTTCTGCTCTTAGCTACTGTTTCACTCACCCTTGAGAACAGTCTAGCTGCCCTTTCTGAGGCAGGCTGTAAAGTGTCAGAGCCCTTCTTAAGCTGATGGCAGAGGAAGTGGTCACACAGGCCAAGAAATCATTGATCATGAAAGTGAACTCACTGCTCCTAGACCCATTGATACTGCTTTTCCTGATGCTTGAAATGCTAGGACGCAGGTGACATCTTGCTCTCAAACAGGTGGTTTTTTCCCCTTTGATTTCCCTGGGTATGAAGAGGAGAGGAAATGCTGAAAGCTGCTGTGAGGCTGTTTGCTCTGCCTTTTGTCAGAGCAGTCCTGTAAATGCAGCGTGGCTGCTGCAGGGCTGTGTGAGGGAGCTGTAGACTTCTGCCCTTCTCAGGTGTTCTCTGTGCTGCTCAGAATGACACCTGCCAGCTGAGGGCACAGGCTAGTTATTCTCAGTTTCCCGAGTGGTTATGTTTTCTGCTGGAGCTTCCCTGCTGACTTGCATCCTGATCTGAGTTTGTTCTCCCTTCCTCTTGCACACAGAACAGGTCCCTCCTCAGGGCTACGTTACCTTCAACGATGATGGCAGCTGTGAGGCAGGTGACATCCGGAACAGGGATGTCACCTCTCCCATCAACGAGCAGGATGTGGAGAGCAGCAGCAGCAGGGGTAGGTCACTGCCTGGGGAAATGGGCCAGCTCACATGGCACACCTGGTGATGAGTCCAACCCTTGGCTTCCTATTCTTTCTCACTGAGATGCTGAGATTGAGGATGTCCCCTGAGGGAAGGCTGAGGGAGCTGGGATGGTTTAGCTGCAGAAGAGAAAGCTCAGTGTGGGGATCTCATCAATTCATGCAAACAATCTGCAGGAGGGTGTAAGGAAGATGCAGGAAGGCTGTTTCCAATGGTGTCTGTGGGATCAAACAGGCCTGGGGAGAGGACACATGCTATTTCTGTCTCAGGGTTGTCTTATATCACAAGTGCTGTATGTGAAGCCTTACTCTGGAGTTGTCCTTCCTTTTCACCTTCAGTAATTGTGTAGCAAAACTAGCACTGAGTGTAAGGAAGTTGAACTTCAAACGGTTTTTTTCTGTTCCTTTCCAGAGGATAACATTTTCTCCAACAACAACTTGGGAACCATCAGGAGCAGCAGCAGCAGCAGTGAGTGCCTGACAAGAGCCCTGGGAGTCAGCAGTGAAGGGTCCTTGGAAAGCAATGAGGTGAGGGCTTCAGTTTTCCTTGCTGTGCCTTCAGCTTGGCCAGTGCTGTGACTAGCTCCATGGGAGGCTGTAGTTCCAGGCTGGGTGAGGAAAGGTAGTACTACAGGTACAACAAAATCAGTTTTTCATATGTGAAGATTATGGATTGGCTTGTTTGATCTCCATCTAGTAGCCAACTCTGAGCATTCACTCTAGAGTAGATTGTTGATGGCTAGTCAATTTTTAAGCTCTTTCCAGCTTCTGAGCTCTTTGCAGATTCTAGTGAGGAGGTGATCAAGAAAGGACGTAATTTGCTGGAGCTGGGTCAGTCCTTGAGCTTGACAAGATAGCAGGAGGTAAAGTAAAGGTTAGAGAAGCACAGCAGTTGGCATTTTTGGAGTATGGGAGGGGGCAGAGCTTGGAGGTTACTCCATGCTTCAGCTCACAGCTCACAGGGTCCATGACAGAGCTCTAGGGCTGATGTACAGAAGCGTCCTTGGGTCTTGAAGGAGCCAACCCTAGTGATCCTAACATCTTTGCATGATCATCCTTGGCCTTTACGTTTTGTGGGTGTTTTCTGTTCCCTTCCAGGACTCTGACCATGCACACAGCCCACCGAGTCGGAAGCAAGCCAAGAGCCTTAAGGTCAAGAACCGCTACAGCAACAGTGACAGCCAGTGGAGCCACTGCCTGGGGAAGGCTGGAGGCTGTGGGCTGGGCCTTCCTGAGCCCCCTGCCTACACAGGGCCCCAGGTATCTGCTCACACAGTTGTCTCTCAAGTCTGTGCCACTGCACCAGGCCTGGGAGGCTTTCCCAAGGTTTCCTAAGCTGTTATCTTGGGTAAAAGAGAAGTTGTCGCCAAAACACCTTTGATTCCAAACCTTTGCCCAAACCTGAATTTTTTGTGAAGCAGCAATTTCTCGTGCAGAGAACCGTTTGCTTATGTGTTGCTGGTGCTTGGAGGGATATTCTAGACCCTTCAAGCCTGTGGCTGCGCTGTCAAATGTGGCAGTGGTGTGGGCTGGGGTAGATGTTGATGTGTTATTCTGCTCTGCATTTGTCAGAAGAGGCCGTGGCTGCAGCAGAGAGGTCTGTGTTTGGAGACTGTGGAGAAGGGCAGGGAACCACGGGTGCTGCTGGAACCCAGGAAGGTGTTCCAGCATGAGAAAGCAGATGTTTGTGATTGAGGAATGGTAATGCTTTTGTTTGTGAGGGTCTAAATAAGTTTGTTTTGGCCGGGCTGCAGGACCTGGCAACATTCCTTGAGCAGATTGGCTGCCTGAAGTATCTGCAAGTGTTTGAGGAGCAAGACGTCGACCTCCGGATCTTCCTGACCCTCACAGAGAGTGACCTGAAGGAAATAGGCATCACGTGAGTGTCTGTCATGTAGTCCTCATCTTTCCCCCTACAAACCACACACAGCCCTCAGGAAGGTTTACCCAGTGAGTGCTGCTGTGTCCTGGCTACCTCCCACACTGATACCCCTTAGTTCTTGGCCTAAACACACTCCTGGGTGTGGAGGTGCCATGGAGGGACCAGGAGCCTGCAGAGGCCTTCATGGTGTCCCGTTGGGGCTGGAGGGAGGTGGAACACTGTTTGACCCGTGGTGTTTGGTTGTCCCTGCAGGCTGTTTGGCCCCAAGAGGAAGATGACATCTGCCATCGCGCGGTGGCACAGCAGCGCTCGGCCGCCCAGCGACGCGCTGGAGCTGGCCTACGCCGACCGGCTCCAGGCCCAGCAGCAGGAGCTGGTTTGGCCGAGATGCAGGAGCTGGCCATCCAGCTGCACAAGGTCAGGCTGCTGGGGCTGGGAGCTGCCTCAGACTGCAGGACGTGTGTGAGGAACTGGAGTACGTTGCCCAGGGAGGTGGTGGAGTCACTGTCCCTGGAAGTGTTTAAGAGGCATCTGGATCTGGTGCTGGAAGATGTGGTTTAGGGGTTACAGCAGTGACAGGTTAAGGGTTGGGCTTGGTGATCTTAGAGGTCTCCTCCAGCCTTGATGATTCTGTGATTCTAAGTGGTCAGTGGCATGTTTTTATGTTGTGCTCCTAGTATCTTTTCCTTTTTAACCCCAGGCCATAGGTTTTAGTGTACACACTTGGTGTCAAGTACAGACTCACACAATTGATCAGCTTGGAAAAGACCTCTGAGATCATCAAGTCCAACCCATGACCTAACACCACCATGTCAACTAGACCATGGTACTAAATGCCATGTCCATTCTGTCCTTAAACACCTCCAGGGTTGATGACTACACCAGTTCCCTGGCAGGACATTCCAGTGTCTAATCATCCCTTCTGGGAAGAAATTCTTCCTAATGTCCAACCTAAACCTCCCCTGGCACAGCTTGAGACTATGTCCTGTCCTCCTGTCACTGGTTTCCTGGGAGCAGAGCTTGACCCCACCTGGCTCCAGCCTCCTGCCAGGGAGCTGTAGAGAGTGATTAGGTCACCCTGAGCCTCTTCCAGGCTAAACACCTCCAGCTCCCTCAGGCTCTCCTCACAGGACTTGTGCTCCAGCCCTTTCCCCAGCTCCATTCCCTTCTCTAGACAGTAGCAGATCAGGTAACACCAGTCCTCCTCTGTGCTCCATGCTTATGAAGCCTTTGTGTCTGTTCTCCATCCACCTGAGAACTAAAGGAGGGAGGGGAAGGAATTGGATCCCTACTCTTTTCCAGCAATGTAGCATTCTTTTCCCTCTGGAACGGAACACTCTGGCTGCTTGAGCCATTAAGATATCAGGGAATCCATGGACATGTCAGAGAGTATGAGAGTGATGTCCAGTGTTCCCAGCCTAATCCTCCGTTCTGTTCTGCTGCAGAGGTGTGAAGAGGTGGAGGTGATGAAGGGTCAGGTGTGCCAGGAGCAGAAGCTGCGTGCAGTGGCTGAGAGCTGTTTGATGGAGCGGGATGAGACCTGGAATGCCATCCAGTGCCAGCTCAGAGAGGCTCAGACCATCACCAAGGATGCTGGAGTCCTGCTGGATCACATCAAGTAAGTGGTTGTCAGGAGATGGCACTGAGGCTACTGGGAAACAGATTTGGGCCATAGAGAGATCACAGCTCATATTGGCAGTCTTAGAGGTGATGCTTTAAGTAAAGCAGGAGAGCTTACCAGGCACCTGATCCCTTCTTGGATCCTGCCTGACTTTCCCTAGTGGAAAGCCACATCTGCAGGAGCAAATCTGTTGCCTTAGTCAGATGCATGAGCTGTAAGGGGCCTGACTTTGTGGGAGTGCTGGGTGCTCCTGGCTCAGCTAGAAGGAACTAGAAGGTTCAGGGCTTCCGTGAGACCCAGTGCCTGGAGTATACCTTTGTGACCAGGTGAATGCAGGAAGGAGTTTCTAGCTTACAAACCCTATCAAAAGACTTGCAGTGTCTTGCCCTGACTAGTGAAGAATACTCTCCATGCCACTTTGACACCTAGCAGGAAAATTCTGCCCTGCTCATTCACCCCCACGTCCTGACACGCCTTTTGTTGCCTTTGTGGGGCTTTGCTCTCAGCCCCAGTTGGACTCCTGTCACAGGCCCTGTTCTGTCCACTGGTAGAACAGGCAGGTCCTTGCAGGTGGCATTAACCCTCCACAGGGAATGTGGGCTCTGCTGACTGCCAAGCCAGGGTGAGCTGGGCTTGGATCCAGGAGGACAGCAATATTCCCAGCTGCAAGGGGCAGAGCTTTTGCCCTGGCTGAGGAGCTGAGGCTGCCTGACAGAAGGGCCCTGCCATGCTCTAAGGATACACTGCTTGAATTAAAGGGATGCTGATGACAGCCAGAGAACCTGTGTGCCTCTCTCATGTCCTGAGGTTGCTTCCTTTGCCCATGGATCAGGCTGGATTCTCACATGAACCAGGCACAGCCCCTGGCTTGGGCTTCCTCCTGCTCACCCCAGCCCCTCCTTCTCTTGTCCCCCCACAGCTCCTCTGTGAACAGGGCAGAGATTGCTGTGGATGGAGATGGGGCGCAGTGGCTTTGCCTGGGGCACGTCTTCCTGGGAAGGACAAGGAGCAGTTTGTACCCCAGGCCCTTAGGGGCGGTCCCTGGGCACCCCGTGCAGGTACTGGCAGGCTGTAGGAGTGCCCAGACTGGTGTGTTGTTCCAGGGCTGTCCCCGTGCCCTGCTGATGGCTCTGTGTTGTTGGCAGGTGCTGCCAGGCAGAGCTGTCATCCCGGCTGGCCCCGGAGCAGGCAGAGGGCACGCTGGGCACCAGGGAGAGCCGCCGGCCCGGGGAGCGCCCAGGTGAGAACACCTCAGCACACTGCACGTGGCTGCAAGGGGCAAGAGCAGGAGAGCCCCAGGCAAGCCTCCTGCTTGCCTTTCCTGGAGGAATGAAGTCAGTGGGTTGGAAATGGATGAGCAGCCAAGCCCTGAAATTGAATGGAAAAATTCTTGGTCGTCACAGAATATCCTGAGTGGGAAGGGACCCATGAGGATCAGAGTCCAACTCCCTGCACAGGGCACCCCAACAATCCACCCTGTGCCTGAAAGCATTGGCCAACATTCCCTGAGCTCTGTCAGGCTTGGGGCTATGACCAAGAGAGATCATGTTGATTTCTGTCCACTGAACTTAAATCTTTTTGAGACTCTCTTAATATATGATGCGTTGATTTCTGTCCACTGAACTTAAATTTTTTTGAGACTCTCTTAATATATGACCCAGTCAGGATAAAAATATGTATTACTGACTGGTGGAATTGCCAGAAAACTCAGTTTGTCATGGGCACTTCCAGCTCTCTTCCCATGTGACTCAGAACCCCAAATTCCCTGCCTGGAGCCACTTTGGGTGTGAATGCTCCTCAGCAGCCCCTTGTCCCTGCTGTCACAGCGAGCTTGCAGAGGATTGACCCTGTGTTCCTGTCCCTGGCAGTGCTGGAAGGATGGCCACCCTCCCTCAAGTCCCTGAGCTTGCCTGAGCTGTCAGCTGTGCTGGAGGAGTGCGTGGGAGAGATGGGTAAGGTGGGAAGGACTCTGGGCACAGGCTGTGCTGGGGGAGGCATGGCTGGGGGGGTTTGAGAGCTTTGGCAGTGGTGGCTGGGAGAGACACAACAATTTCCCCTCTTTCAGGGAAGTCTCCAGGCTCTGAAGTTGGTGCTGGCATTTTCTTGTACTGCAGGTCTTGGGCTCTGCCTCCTCCTGTGCTAACAGGTCCAGGCTGAGAGATGGGGCGTGTATGGCTCCTGCATATCCTGCTCAGTGGCTGGAGCTGCTAGGGAATTGTTTCCCATAGCTTGTGTCCTGTTCTCCTGATGGCAGGAACTTGTCCCAGCAGCAGGCAGACAGAGCAGAGACACCTCTGTTTTATGAGGTGCTGGAAGCTGCAGGGCATAGGCAGCAGGAGGACAGCACAGCAGTGCCTGAGTGCAGCTTCCCTTCTTCCCAGCCTGTTCCTGATTTCCTCCCTTGCTTTGTCCTCAGGAAAAGCCCTGCAGACTGTGACTCAAAACCTCCAGAGGCTCCAAGCCCCGGTGCAGAGCGGGCAGAGCTGGCTAGAGCCATAACAAAGCATTCTGTGAGTGGGTGAGTGGGAATCCTGACAGGCTGTGGCACTGAGGGGACACCAGTGCCAGTCACTGCACGTGCCAGTGAGCGCTCGGAGCCCACGCACCGTGGCCGGGCTCTAGCTAGTCCTCATGTGCCCCCAGGGGGAAAATCCTTTGTCCCCTTGGCTCTGTGTGCCACTGGAAGGGTGACTGTCCTCTCTTTCCCGGGGCTGCAGGAATACTGACGTCGGGTGACTGTTCCACCCGGAACTGAGTGTGCCTGGAGTGAGCGCGAGGGCTGTGCCGGCGGCTCCGCGTGTGCCAGCGAGGCTGCTGGGGCTGCCAGGAGCCTCAGCCACCAGAGACACACCTGGGATCACGAGGGGCAGCAGAAGATAACAGCCAGCAGCTCCTAGGTCTTGGCTGCTGTCTGGGTTCCCAGGATCCCTGTTCACACGGAAAGGTTTAGGTTAGGAGGACAAACTCCGAGTTGTAGCTACCTTAAGCTTCCTGCAGCCCTTGTTGTTCAGGTCTGTGTGGTAGAAAGTTGACAGTTATACACAGCAATCAATTAATTATCCTTTTCTGCATCCCAGGCTCCCTAAGGTCACTTAAACTTGGCTCCTTCTGTGCCATGTGGATTGGCACAGAGAATGCATCTGAGGCCATATGGAGTGCAGGTTGTTGTGGAGGGGTGAAGTGAGTGGAGGTTGTGATGTTTGGCTCTTGGAGCTGCAGTGGAGCTCGTGCAGCCTTGTTTCTAGCTGGAAGGTCTGCTCTGCTGCCATCCCAGATGTGACCTTCAAAGCCTCTTCCTCCAGCCAGCCCACCCTGGTTTGCTTCAGATTCTTGTCCTCCTAAGAGGTTGGTTGTGATCATGTTACTCCATCCCCAAAACTTGGCTTTGTGCTAAAGGCTTTGTGGCAGAGCCTGATTTGTCAGTGCCAAGATCCCAATGCTGACAGTGGCTGCAAGGCAGATGTTTCCCTGGAAGGACATGAGAGAGAAGGAAGAGCTTGGGACTGTTCACCCTCCCATGCCTTAGGCAAGCAGCACAGTGCCAAGGCAGCAGAGCAGGAACTGAGGGATGGCCCTGTCCCCCATGGGAGATGGGCAAAGGACATCCCAGATGTAGCTGTGGTGCAAAGCTTTGGTCCTCAGCCACTGCCTGCCTTTGGTTTTCAGGCTTTAGTGTTTGGAAATGGCTCTGCTAGGGCATTGTGTGGACATTTCCAAAGGACAAGCAGTGTGGGCAGAGGCTGTCCCATCTGGGAACTGGGAGAGCTGCCACAGGGACTCTGGTGGCTCTGAGCTTGGTGTAAAATGGTTTCCAGTTCTCCTTTATTACTGAGTCCTGTGAGGGGGGAAAACCAGTCAAAACCTGAAGGCTGTGAGTGGTGGCCTTGACAAGTCAGGAGAAGTCTGTTTGGGAAGAGGATGAAACTGTGTTCCTTCTGATATTCAGGCCTTGCTCATGGATGCCACTCTGGCTCCATCCTTTGAGCTGGTCACCCTCTCTGCTGAGCTGCCCAAGTGCTTTAGGCAGGTGTGAGAGCTGCTCTTTCTGTGTGAAGTGACACCAAGTCTGACTGGTGTCACTGACACCTGTGCTTCCTGGGGACAGCTTCAGGGCACCACTGTCCTGAGCCAGGCAGCTATGGCCTAGCTCTGCTAGATCTTGGGGTGGAAAAAGGCAGGAAAGAAGGGGGGGGCAAGATGGCACATCTAATAGGTTGTAGCGCTTGGGGGGCTGGGAGAAGGGGAGAGATGTGGCTCTGTGTGTGTGTGTGTGTGTGTGTGTGAAGGAAAAGGAGAGGTCCCAGAAAAGGTGCTGCAGGAGTCCAGGTGTGAAGGCTTCAGGTCAGTGAGAGCAGACAAGGGGGACAGCAGGGAGGAGATTCCCTACAGTAGTGTTTCCCTGAGGGTGCAGTTTCTCCAGTAGGAGATGCTGAGCAGCATTCCTTGCTGCAGCAGGGAGTCTGGTGCTCCCCTCAGGCACGCTGTCCTAGACAGAGCGTTTGCTGATGTGGATAAAGAATAAAATCTGAAAACGGTTCCTGGTGTGGGTTTCTTTGGAGGGAGCTGGGCTTGGAGAGTCAGGAATAAGATCTCTGATTTATTTCAGGACAATCAGGAATACCTACATTGTTTTCCAGCTTCCTCACCCACATGGTCACAGGCTGAGGGCTCTGGGCCTGCCTTGTCCCTGCCTTGCCAGCCCTGCCTGGCTCCTCCTGGAGGTGCCACCCATGCAGCACCAGATGCATGGGAGCTGTGGGAATCCAGCAGGAGCCCCCAGTAAAGAGCAGCAAATCAGCACCTGTGGAGCTGCTGGAGCAAGTCCAGAGGGCTGGAGCTCCTCTGCCATGGGGCCAGGCTGGGAGGGCTGGGGGTGTTCACCTGGAGAGAAGGGTCCAAGGCAGATCTTACAGCCCCTTCCAGTGCCTAAAGGGGCTCCAGGAAAACTGGAGAGGGAATTGGGACAAGAGCCTGGAGGGACAGGACACAGGGAATTGTTTCCCGTGGAGCTGCTGGAGCAAGTCCAGAGGGCTGGAGCTCCTCTGCCATGGGGCCAGGCTGGGAGGGCTGGGGGTGTTCACCTGGAGAGAAGGGTCCAAGGCAGATCTTACAGCCCCTTCCAGTGCCTAAAGGGGCTCCAGGAAAACTGGAGAGGGAATTGGGACAAGAGCCTGGAGGGACAGGACACAGGGAATTGTTTCCCACTGCCAGAGGGAGGGACAGATGGGATATTGGGAAGGAATTCCTCTCTGTGAGGTGCTGATGGCACAGGTCAGGTTGCCCAGAGCAGCTGTGGCTGCTCCCTCCCCGCGAGGGTTCCCGGGACTTTTTTTTGGACCGGCCTGGGCTAGTGGGAGGTGTCCCTGCCTATGGCAGGGGTGGGATGGGATGAGCTTTAAGTTCCCTTCCATCCCAAACCACTGGGATTTCAGCTGCATTTCCCTCAGTACCCGAGAGAGCCGTTTCCCTCCCTGGGAGCAGCCAGAAGCAGCAGGCTCTGCTTGCTGAAAAATAAACATTTATTTACATCTGAAAACAGAGTTAATATGTAAAATGGTCTCGTGGGGGTTACATAGATCCAGGAGAGCAGTTGAGTGATGCTCCTGCCTTGAGCCCAGCTGCAGAGCCAGCCTCTCCTGCCTATGCCTGGGGGAGAGTCCCAGCTGCTTCCTCTGGCCTGGAGGGGCTTTTTGGCAGGGTGAAGGAAGGAACACAGCCAGAACAAGCACTCAGCAGAGCCTGTCCCAAGGGTAAGCGTGAGGGGCTGGGGGGTGGTGGCTGTGGCTGCTCTCAGCTCTTCCAGGAGGTGTAGGTGCTCCTGGGCTCCACAGGCTCCTTGGCAAGGGTGGGCTGATGCTTTGGCACCCCCCCGGGAAGCAAACTCCTTGAATCTCAGTCTTTGGCCAGCAAAACAGTTCCTGAGCCAAGTGTGGCTCCTGCCCATCTCTCCCTGACATGGAGGAGGAGGAGGTGGCTGTGCTGGACCTGGGAGTGGGAGGTGAGGCTCAGCTCCATGGACCTGATGCTGTCCAATTCCTCACTCGCGTGTGATCTGAGGCTCCATGAGTGCCTGCTGCCTTGGCTCTCCATGGCAGGGGGAACCTGCTGCAGGAGGGCTCGGGGAGGAGGAGCTGGTGGTTTGTGCGGCTGAGAGCAGCGAGGAGGGGCAGGTGCCATGGGCTGTGTCAGAGATGAGCGTGGAGGAGATTTACAGGATGACACTGTGTCTGGGAGCTCTCCAGGCACTGTGGGGGTGGCCCTTGCACAGGACGGGTGCCCTGGGTCAGTGCAGTGCTGGCATGGCCCAGAGGCAGCAGGTCTGTGCAGCAGTGCCAGGCTGAGCAGCATTTCCCACTCCCCCTGCTGAGGGCCAGGCTCCCTCCAGCTGCCACAACCCTCCCACGGGTGCCCAGGGAGGCTTTGCTGAGGGGGCAGCGAGGCCTGGCAGGAGCCAGTGGTGCCCACCTGCCCGTTGACGACATCCCTTTCAGCAACTCCAGTGCAGCACAGCCAGACAGTGGTCCCAGCCTGGCCACCCCAGGTGGGCACTGCCCAGCACAGCTTCCCACAGCCCCTGCCCTCAGCAGCCCCTCTGCCCTGCTCTGGGGGGTGGGCACCCCCTCACTGGGCACAGCAGAGCGCTGGGTGGTCGAGCTTCCAGAGCTGCCACTTCTTCTTCATCTCAGATTTCACCTGCCAAGGAGAGGAGAGAGTGAGGGCTCAGCCCTGGCTGTGCCCTGCCTGCAGGCACAGGGTGGCATGGGAAAGCCTGGCAGGAGATGCTATGGTGGGACATACCTCCTTGTTGGCAAAGCAGTACAGCACAGCCACCAGGAAACCCTGGAGGGAGAGCCAGGAGTGAGCCCCCTCTGCCATCCCTCTCCCGGGGCTGGGATGGGCTTAGTCTCCCCCCAGGCCATTTCTGGGTGCTTCTGAGGCAGAGGTCCCTCTGCCACCACTGCCTCGGGCAGCACAGGAGGCACCAGCAAACACTCAGCAGTGGGGCTGAGCGTGGGACAGATGGTGTCCCACTCCCCACAAAGGCACCGCAGGGAAAGCGAGCTGGAAAAGGGACCCCCAAGTCCTTGCTCCATGGTGTGCGCAGAGCAAGGACATGTCTTGCTCCCACCTCACCTGGAAGGAGTTGAGGAAGAGGGTGAAGAACACCTTGATGTAGCGCAGGATGCCTGTGGTTTGCTCATCCGTGGCAAAGATGAAGACAACCTCGTGGATCCCAAAGAGGGGGATGAGGGTGAGGGTGGCTTTGGCCAGTCTGAAAGACCCTAAATGGCTGGGGCAGAGGAGCAGGCAGGGGCAAGCTCCCAGTTAATCTTGGGGTGCTCATTCAAGGATGTGCAGGGTGGAGGTGTGTGGGAATGTGAAGGTGGTGTTACTCCAGGACCAGGAGGACCCACAGCTCTGGCCACCCCATCCCTCCCTTCCAGCTCACCGCAGCTTGTAGTCCGCGTAGCCCTTCTGGTTGGCACGGAGCTTGGCCAGGATCACCTTGAGGATCCTCATGAAGATGAGCAGATTGATCTGGGGTGGGGAAGACAGTGCAGGGGCACACAGAGCCCACATCCTCACCCTGGCCATGATCTGCACCCTCGGGGGCTGCAGGAGTTAGCACTCCCTGGGCTGTCACGGCTGCCGCGGCCCTTCCTGCTGCCCTTCCTCCCTCCCACCACCCCAAAATCCTGGCTAGGAAGCAAGGGACACCCCCAGACCCTTTCTCTGGCGTTCAGCACCTCAGTCCATGCTTCCTGCACCGACTCCTGGAGCCTGAGGGTTAGCAAATTGCTGTTAAACGAACAACTCTCTGTGCATTTTAGCATGACCCTTGGAGGCCAATGCTCCCTCCTGGGCCCTCCAGGAGCTTCCCCAGGGGATCACAGCCCTGCCCAGGGCTGGGAGCCAGGGGCTGAGCTGCTGTAGTCCGAAAAGGCACAGGGCTGGCGCGTGTTCCCTACCAGGGAGGCGAGCAGGATGGGGATGCGGATGATCCACCAGTAAGCCATGTTCTCGTTCAGCGCCCAGCACCTGCCCAGGGAGGCACGGAGAGCAGCACCATCACCCTGGGCCAGGGGTGCAGGATGAGGCTGAAGACTCAGGGTCCCTCAGCAGCCTCTGTCCTGGTCCCAGCCTGGGGCTGAGCATCCCAGCAGAACCTCCATCCCTCCCCACTCACTCCGCGTTCTCCTTCAGGTACTTGGCAGCCACCCAGGGCACCACGAACACCACGGGGGTCCCTGCAAGTCACACAGCAAATCCTGTAAAACCAAGCACCCTCCTGAGCTGAGAAACAGGCCCCAGGGTGGGGGACACTGTCAGGACACCCAGGGGCAGCAGAGCCCCCACCCACCCCCTCCCAGGGCTGATTTGCACCATGGTGCCCACTGACACCGGGTACTGTCCCATCCCCGCCCTGCACCAGGGTGGCCCCTACCCCAGCCCAGGTAGAGGTAGAGCCTGTAGTAATTCTTCTCAGAGAAGACAGCCCCGATGAGCAGCTTGTAGAGGTACACAGCTTCCACCAAGAACCAGTAGTGGTTGGCCAGGATGCAGTACTGCATCAGCACCTGCGCCGCTCGGCACCCCAGCGCCGCCTGCACGGGAGACCTGCCGTGGGGCTGGCCGTGTGCCCACCGAGAACCCCATTTTTTTTCGGGTGCATGCTGCTGCACCCAGCACCTCGAGAGTTCACCCACTGGGTGCTGGGGCACAGGCACCCCAAGAGCTGACCCACTGAGGGCACAGGGTGCACATCAAGAACTGACCCACAGGGGCATGGGCACCTCAGGAGCTCACACTTGGGGACACAGATACCCCACGAGCTGGCCCAGAGGGTGCACGGGCAGTGCAGGCACCCCCAGACCTCATGGAACAGGTGTATGGGCAGCACAAGCACCCTGAGAGTTTGC